CAATCGTGAAACGCTGAAGGGCCCCTGCACTGAACCCCGTCTAGGTTGGGGCCACACGGATTTCCCACTGTTGGCATCGACGCTTGAGTCTTAGCAACAAAGAGAAGGAAGGGCCCTTCCGCACGCATCCCAAGTGCCACGGGGAAGCCGGAGTTTGCTGGTGGATGAGCAGAGGTACTCCCTCAGTTCCTTGGAGTAGCTGCTATATACTTTCCCCACCCAATTCTTGCAGGTGGTTTTCCGGAAAGCAGGCTTGGTTGGCTTTCAGCTTCTTAGGATAGGTAAACACCTGCTTGTATTTGTGGCATCCCAGGTGATGATGCGTGATAACAGGACGTGTGTGTTGGATGTGGAATGAAGAGAAGGGGCGGAAAATCGTACCAGTGGCTCAGTGCTGTCTGCCGTCTGCTCGGTGTGCTGGTGAAACGCGAACGGGCGCATGGTGGCTTCGAGGCCATGCGGCCCGAAGGACAAAAGCAGCACATGGGAAAGCTCAAGAGAGGGTGGGCAGAGGGTGGACGCAGGAAATGAAGAAAAGCCCAGCCAGGATGGCAACTGGGATGGGAGCCGCGTCCTTGGAGAGGAACGGAGGGTTCGCACTGAAGCTCCTCAACTGGAGAAGTCTCCCAAGCGAGGCTCCCAGAGTCTCCAGGCAGATGCGGAGCCCGTATGTGTGACACACAGAGACCGGGAAGACGCGCCGGCTGCCAAAAGACGCAAGGCACAGCTGATAACACAGACAGCAGCTGACAAAGCACCGCCGAGGGAGCGAGGCTGCAGGCGGGCCAACAGCGCCACAGCTGCCTGAGAAGGGGAGGGAGGAGGAGACAAGGGCAGGCCGAGAAAGGAGTGGGTGCACGTTCTCCCCCAGACGAGACGAGCCGCTTCGCTTCCGGCGCCAAGGACAGTTCTGGATGCCTCTGCGTTTCCCACACGTCCCCAAGCCTCCGGAAACTTGTGGCGTGATCTGCCTGGGGAGGGGTCCGTGCACGTTGTGCGTGGAGTCAGCCGCAAGGCCTCTGGTGCCTGTGCAGGCCAGGCCTTTCGCTCGGCAGCATTTTTAATCTGCTGGTCGCCACAGCATTAAGTTGCGGCGGCTCAAGCCGCAGCTCAGAGGGCTCCCTTGCACGCGGCTTCCTGGCCGTCTTGCAGCCTCCGGCGCCGGTTCAGCTCCATGGAATCGCCCTGAATGGCCCCAGCTTCAGTTCTGCCATCGGCCTGGGAACACTTTTCACAAAGCCACACGGGCACTTGGAAGCTGCTGCCTAATCATGTTTGAAAGACGTAATGAAATCAAAGTATTTAAAGGCCTTGCTTTTCCTTCTTAAACAAACATGATTAATGCTTTTCCAAGGGTCTGCAGAGCCATTCTTAATGTGCCAGTTGTTGTTCGATATTGTTTTGGTCTCTTAAAATGTGTCCTTTTTCTTCCTTCGGCAAATTAAACACTGCAAACAAAATCGTATCCCGAGGATGAAGGAAATCACAATCAGGGAGGTATGACCTTCCCGATATTCTGCAAATTTCACTTTGAGGCTTGTTTCGCTTTGTTTCTATATGCATTTGGTAGCAATTGAATGGAAGAAGTATCCACTTTTCAAAAGCATAATTAGCATCGACTAAGGAGTAAAGATGCTTAAGTGCAGACTTTTCTTTTAAAAATCCGCATTTTCTCCATACAACTGCAGGTTTAGGACCATGCAAACTTTTTTTTAAAAGCACCACAGCTGACCTTGGAGTTTGCAAACAGATAATTTGCAAACTGCTGCTGAAACAACGAGGTAATGAAGCAGGGTGAAACAAAACAGCCACACTGTAAGCTAAACTGAACGTTTACAGGTGACCTGCTGTGGCAAAAACTGGGACAAAGCACTTGATCTTCTGTAACCAATGAAGGACTGGATGAGGTCAAAAAGCCCCTGGAGCTCCAGTCCAGGAAGCAGAAGTATTATTATTATTATTATTATTATTATTATTATTATTATTATTATAACATTTCTATGCCGCCCCTTGCCGAAACCTCGGGGCGGCTTACAACATGATAAAATACATTGAAATACAATAGTACATAATAAATTACCATTAAATATAAAAATATAAAAAAATACATTGATTTACAAATACAAAATTAAAATTATCAGTATAAAATAAAAATATAGGAGGAGAAAGAGAAGGAAGAAGAAGTTGCCCCGGCCAGATCATATGTTTTAACAATTGAAATGATGTTTAAATAAAAAAGTCTTTACCTGGCGCCGAAAAACCAGTAACGACGGTGCCAGGCGGACCTCTTTGGGGAGTGAATTCCATAGGTTGGGCGCCACCGCAGAGAAAGCCCTCCTCCGGGTACTTACTCTCCTAATTTCTTTCATGGAGGGTTCCTGGAGAAGGGACTCTCCCGCAGATCTCAAAGGGCGGTCGGGCATATACGGACGTAAGCGCTCGTTCAGGTAGCCAGGACCCAAGCCGTTTAGGGCTTTGTAGTGCAGAGACAACTGGTTGCAACATCAAGAACTGTTCAGCTTAGAAAGCATCGGAAGCAGCAAAACCAAGGGCATCCAGAGCAGCTATTTCTGAAGCCTTTTCGAAATCATTTTGGCGCCCTGCATCAACAGGACAAGATTCGCTTGCAAAACTTTCTGGCACTCCTAGGCACCATTAAAAACTACAGTAAAAATCTGGTGCTGTTGATGGGGAAGGCAACTCGGTGGCAGAGGGTTATGACCAAACTTGTAGCAGAGTTACAGCCCTAAAAGCCGAGAACCCAGGTACCTTAAAGCCCTCCTCTTTCCACACGTCAAGATCTGCCTTGGATGACTTCACGACGTCCCTCCACTAAACAGGGCCTTTTCCGTGGTGGCACCACAGCCTGGAAATTTCCTCCCTAAAGAGGTAGGCCTAGCACCAAGTTTGCCTTCTAAATTTCCAGATAGGGGAGTTTCCATGAGTGCAGAAGTGGTGCTGGAAATTAGGGAATAAGCACAAGAATAGGGAATAACACCGATCACACAAGGAACCCAAAATCTCACATTAGACAAGGAACGCTCTTGAGTGAGCGAGCACCCTTCCTTCAGTATTCTATTGCTCACTTTCACTGAGCTTTTGCCTATAAATAAACCAATTAAAAACTACAGAATCAACCAGGTCATCTTTAAAATATGGCTGCAGTGCTAATGTGTTATTTATGCTAAAATTATCCATTAAAATTGGCCGATGTGTTATGCATTTCTTAAGAGCAATGTTTAAGAATAAGACTTATGCCTAAGGATAATCCATTAAGAATAATAGCCACCTCTGGGATTTTTTCTGGACTACCAGCTTTACAGAAAATTACTTTTCACTCTTTTCCTGCTTGTTGATATTTGTAAGGAGAGAACAGCAATTAATTCTGTGGAAACCACACGAATCTTGAGAGAGCTTGAAAGGGCCCTAGTAACCATAAAATGAGCCTTAAACAAAACTGAAATTTCTATTTGCTAGCAAGGTTAGAAAGCTGAAATATTGCCGAAAGGGTACAGCCCTCTTTTGAAGCACTCTTGTTCCAATCCCACACCTCCTGTGGAGCCCTGCGCAAACTGTGCTCTTGAAGCCGTAGCTCCACCCTGGGGAATACTAATGACACGGTTCAAAGGGATTTTTTGTATTTTTTTGTGGGCAGGAGGGTGCAAATCATAGTGTGTCTGCCCAAATCCGTTGCGAATAAAATGCTGTGTTTTGCTTTCAGGAGCAAAGCTTGTGAAATGTGACACCCACACGTCCGTCAGCATGAATGCCATATACATAAGTAAGCGCATCCATGCTGTTTTAGGGAGCAGCTGCCCCTTTGGTTAAAAATGTGTATCTAGCAAAATTCACTGGGTTTCAGCAGAAGTCTTTTCAGCTCTGTTATGTGAGAAATGTTGAGCCCCCGGGCTCCCGGCTTAAGCCACAGAGATGCAAGGTTGGTTTATCTGTTCCTCTCTTTGATGGATCAACACGCATTTGATCAAGATGAGACACAAGAACTTTCCAACGCTGTGGGCAGCCGTGTGGCATGCAAGGTCTCAGACCCACCAAAAAACAGAGAAGTAGCTTCTCAAACCTGGAGCCCTTCGGGTACAACCGATGTAAGGCAGCCTCGATAAAAAGAGAGAGGAAGTCGCCCCAAAGCCTTGGAAGGTCCTGAGCCAAGCAAGGTTGGAGAGCACAGCTGCCGCCCCAAATCGTAGCTTTAAATTTTAAAATAGTGCTGGTAAGACTAAGACATGGATCATGTAAATTGGATTAAATGTTTTTGGGACATTCCCATATTAAAGGATGTGGACGTGAATGAATCTGATGACGCTTTAAAAGGTTCCCCCTAGGAAGGTTGCAACGGTGGGCATCTTGGCCGGAGAGTCTGACTGAATCCATTTACTTTGGAATAAATACACGCAGGTTTGCACTATAAAATTGAGACAGTGCCTCTGATGATGACGGGGCCTAATATGGCATAACAAATGCTATTCACTGGGTGAGATGCAATAGTCTAGATTTCGTGGATAAAAATAGTTGCACATCACATGTTCAGCTAATTTAATAGTAAGAAAGAATGCCTTTAAAAAAGGACATACATGCATACATAAGAAGCTTGCAGAAAATTAATTTTGATAGATGAACGTTCACAGCAAAGGGATGTTTACACATACATAGCACTTCTCAGAAATACAAACTAAACAAACAGGCAACACTGTTCAATAAGTCTATTTCGTGTTTCAGATCGTCCCTTCAGAATGCTAAGTCTGGCCTTGGACTTCCAAGGGCGCAAGTCTATCGGAAGCAGAAAAATGGAGATAGAAAAAGCCTCCAGCTCCTGGCGTGCCCAAGCCAGCTACCCAGAACAAGTGACGAGCTGTTTATCCCAAAAAGATAACCAGCCACAGCTAGGGTGCATCACGGACAGTGCCTCCCATCAGAAAGCCTCACAAGCATGCCTTTTGTCTCGCCCGCCAGCCAAGCTCGGACACGCACGGGAAGGACCCTACCTCCACAAGGAACTCTCCAGCACTTTCCCCATGTCGGTGTGGTAATACTTCGTAAGGATCAGAATCACCTAAAAGAAAACAAACAGAAAGCGTTCTGAGCGACAGATGCTAAACCACCTCTGAGTCCAGAAGTTATGCAATTGGGCCGGAAAACTTGGGAAAGGTTTATACCTGGGAGTAATACAAGCTTGAAAGCCATAAACAGTGTAAACACAGAGCTGTCCCTAAGACCGATTGGTGAACAAACAGAATAAAATACTAGGGTCTTTTCAGATAGCTCAAGCTGTGAAACTCATCAAAAAGAAAAATGCTTCCTACTGGACTCAGCTAGAATCAAATAATAATTCATTTCTTGTTTCTTATTTATGTTTACCAAAACTCCCAAGGAGTACAGTTAAAATACACAAACCTTTGCTAGTGAACGGATTCAAATACGATGCAAATATATGAATTTCTCCCATTATATCCCACTTTGAAACACCCCAAATTCAGTTTTCAAGATAAATACAATAGAAATCATGGAGCGAAATTGGATTTATTGGCTTGGAGATCTAGTTATAAAAGGAAAACCAATTTCAGTAAGAAGACTGAAAGATAAAACTGTCCAGATAAGATCTAGTTGGTTCCAATTAGTGCAGATTAAAAACTTTGCAACTCACTTGTGTAATACCTAAAATGCTTACAAGACCTGGAAATTCTTGAAGAGTTTAGTTTAAAAAAAAAAGAAGCAGCAGCAATGTCAGTGGTCAATAAGACCATTATTGGGGAAGAATATGACAATCACATGGAAGCCAGGGCAACTTGAGAAGCAAACCTAAAAATGCGTTTATCAGAAAAGTCATGGGCAAAGAATGTGGCCCTTCCAGGCCTTCAGGTCTGACTGAACGAGGTCTAAGAACAGCACTAAAAGCGGTGCATCATCGGCATCTGCGCTCCACAAAATTATATCACGTTAACAATGAGTTATCGAATACATGTTGCGACATGACAAGAAGACAAAACGTTATGATGGTTTTCATCGTTTACTGGGGAACGCGGTGGACTGCATTATAAAGAATCACTGGCAATAAAAACCGAGATGGAAAAGATGTGGAAGAATGTCCGGAGGGCTCTCATTTTGGAAATACCTGGATAGAATATGGAAGGCGGATTGGCAGAGAAACAAACCAGCCACTTCTGTGTGGCTAAAGGAGAAATAAAGGAAGGTAACTTTGTGCAACGTGGTACCCGTTCTTGATGCATTCGCCAGATCTGAATGGTGAAGAACACCCAATTAATTATAGTGGGCTGGTTATTGATAGCATATTCTAATGGTATTATTTGCAGATACAGGAAGATGGTTGCGTATGAGACTGTATTTCAATAGTTATAATTTTTTCAAGCTAGACAGATGAACGCAAAGAGCATACAAGAAAGTTGCATGGAGATTTCCGAGTTCTTTGAACGGATTCCATGTTTTGCTTTTGTGATCAGTGACTCATGGTAGCTTATTCTGAGGTAATAAGCCACCATGACAACCCATGGCTTTTTATCAGGGTTGTTTGAGCCATGATAGGTTGTTGGGCCATCGCAATGGAAGAGCAATTCCATTGGAATAGCCATTACTGGGCAACTGAAAAAGGAAGGGAAAAAAGCAATGAGTGTTGCCCAAAAAGAGTGGGAAGAGTTATTATCCCACCTTTTTAGAGGAGCCGGGAATTCAGGGAAGTGTTTCAAAGGTGGAAAGCACGGAGAGCTGTCAGTTCAAACTGCACACGAGAGGGAGCGGCGATGCCCTAACACTGACGCTGTCACGAACACCATCCTTCTCCTTTTCCTCTTCCAGAGATCAAGGCAAAAGATGTCTAAAATGCATCCCTTCCAGCGCTGAGCTGACCAACTGGGGCTGCCTCTCCACTAATGAAGTTGTTAACAAGCAGCGTTTAACCAAGCAGGGATTCCTCTGATTGATGGAGTTGGGCACTGGCCCATGTCAGGAGTGGATTCCAAACCCCCCTTCCTTTTCCCCCAAAAAGGGTTGGCTCTACCCTCAGGGAGGTTGGTGGGCCAGACGGCAAGGACGCCGGGTAGCATTTCCCCAATCTGCTCGTTTGCTTGACAAGGAACCACTGCAATGACAAACTATCACCATCCTCCTCTGTCCCAAAAGCGTGTTGGGGAGTAAAACTAAGCCCAACCAATAGGCTAAACCAGAGAACCCTGTTTAGAGCACTGGAACACTTTCTGGTTCTCCTTCATCAGGAAAATCCACATCATAGATGAAAGCACCAAGATCATGACAGGGACTGCCGTTTTTTTCTGCTCTGCCCTATCCCAGCTCACAGCTTAAATTTCTAAATGCATGGCTGCCAATCAGACTACTTCCCGAGTCCTAATTTGTGGTGTTAATTTGTCCATTATTAATAAATTCCAAACCTTTGACGTATATTCTGTTTATGTGCTATGCTGCATAGTTGGAAAGCAGCATTTAGCATATTCTTTCAGCAAGGGTGAGTGGATTTGAGTTGGAAGGCAGCAGTACTTGGCTTGCTGTCCAGAGCAAAGAAGAAGTCGAAACAAAACGAAGTACTCTAAGAACGCTTCTAAGAACACAACACCCCATCTGCCAAATCCTGCCTCATCAGCCTCCAAAAGCTTTTTGTGAAAGTTGTGCCTTCCACAATCGCTGTAAAATACAGAATTGTAGCTCTGTCCATCACGGAGAATTTTTCACAGAGAAGCTTGGGCGGCTTTCAAACATGGGGGGAGGCAGCGGGGAGAACCGTGGCTCCGAGGAAGCATTCCGCTCCCACATGAAAAGCTCCCCACTGCTTCGTTCCCAGTGATGAGGCCATGCCTGAATCACAGGGCCTCTTGGAGAACACAACTCCCATACTGAACCTCTTTGTGAAAAGCTGGCCGGCCCATGAATGGTCCTTTCATTATACACCACTTTGAACTCGGAAGAAGTAGGATATAAATATTTTATACGTACAAACAAAGAGGCTTTCTTGCAGAGGAACGCCTGCCAATGGCGGGAACGTGCAACCTCCAAGGGGCAGCGGCGGCCGATCCACCAACTGCCCGTCGTGCGAACCCAAAGCACGCTCACCAGTGGGATCCAATGACCCATCAAGCTGCGATCCTGTACTGGACATCTGGAAATGTCCCATTTTTCACCGGATCGTTGAAACCGCACCGTGAATGCTGGGACATTGTTTTCAAAATGAATGTTCCGGTTAAGGCCTGCAGTGCTTGGTTTCGCTGCTTCCTGGCGCTCTTCTGATTTCACCTGCCTCCCACACGGTCGCTGGAACAGCTGTGCCCCCTCCTGCAGGGCTCGGGCCCCTGTGGTAGCCGCATGCCTCCGTGCTGGCTGCCTGGAGACTGGCTGATGGTTCCATGCGCCAGATTTAGGTTTCTCCTGCCTGTCGCTTCTGAAGGATTGCTACTTCTCAGTATTACATGTCAGCTTGTACAGTGAGTCGAGAGCAGCATATCATATCTTGCAAGATTCTTATATTAGACATCCCTTCTCTGACAGGCACAGGAATCAAATATCAGTAGTTGCTCACCAGAATCCAAACTCCTCACCAGCAAGATAACCTGATTATCTTTTCTAGCTCAGAATCCACAGTCTGACTGTCTAAACACCCACCTGGGTAGAGGAGAAGGGACCAGAGCTAAGCTTCCTTAGGTTCCTCTCTGGAAAATATCAATCATGATGTTACAACCTGATTAGCTTCTACTTTGATGGCACATTTTTGACTGCCTTCCTATGATGGCCATTTCGAACCCTGAGTGTAGAGTCTATGTGAAAAGCAGTCCAATGTGGTATTTTTAAAAATCGATGCAAAGTAGGTTATCATGCAAAGGGTCACTGGTATAGGAACAAGAAAATTTTCCCAAGCAAATTTGGGTCACTCATACGGGAATACATCCAGTTTGCGCTGGAAAATCTTCTGATGCCCAGAGATGGCCAACGTACAGCCTGCAAACAGTTTGTCTTCCAGACCCATCAACTTCCCACTGGCCAAAACATCCGGAGACCCACACAATTTAGCAGGTTTATTTTGCTTAAATTAAGTAAGCAAAGCTTTAAAAGGCTTCCCATGTTGATATTTCATCCCAATATTCCACTAGTATTTGCAGTGAATATCTGAGGGAGGAAAGCCACACTGAGAGTGATTTAAATGTTTCATTACACCGAGAATTTAATTGGAATCCTTGAAAAAAGGTAAAGCTTGCATCCACTTTCTTAGCGTTGTTGTCCGTCCCCTATGGACCCTCTCAATTTGCTCTGAGAGGATCCTCCAGAGGAAGATAAACAAGTTCAGGGTATGTGAATGGGAGAGGACAAGAGGAACTGTAACTCCCATTCTGTGAGCAGAAATCCACTTGGTTTTAGTATGAGAATTCCTGTGAATGCCCTTCCTTTTTTCATCCTTTGCTCACATTTTAAGCTCTTCTCTCTAGCAGCCAGCCCTCGAAGACCCAAGGTTCAGTCCACATATTCGACTATTTTTTTCCTGGATGTATTACACCGAGACTTTAGAGCATGAAAGGAGATTGCGGCACCAAAGCTGCTAAAATACTTCTCCAAGCAATGATCCAGGCAAACACTACAAGACAGTTTCCGCCTTTATTTTCTCTCCAAGCCATTTTCCCTGAGACCACGATCATTTTCTAGGAGGAAGTCTTCATTTGATATTACTTTTAAAGCAGCCAACCTATTAATCCTTTTGTTATGGAAGTGAGAAAGTGCTGGCTTTTACCATACTGAAGAAGCAGAGAAAATTGAAGTAAACATGCCAGGAAAAAGAAAAGGGGGCCTTGAAAAGCTACCAGGGAAGAGAAGGCTTTGCATAAGCAGTGACAAGAGTGGTCTGTAAGTCTTAAAAATTATCTCATCCCATCGCCCATATGGTGAACAGGCCAGATGGAAAGCAATTTTAAAATGCAATGAAGTCCATCATTCATCCTTTTAAGAGAGATCGACTTTTTCTGATTGTCTCTTTGCAACAGAATGCTTGGCATCAAAAATGGAAGAGACACGGGAGCATCTGGATGGTTGCAAAGGAACAGGCAGGGCTGCTTTGGAAAATGCTCCAGAAAGTCCAGGCAGGTTGGAGAGACGAGCAGATTAACGGGTCAACATGACCAAATTGTCCCAGTGTTTGGCTGCCTGCCCTGGCTCTTCATCGGTCCGCAGGCCCAGTGAAAGGCCCTAAGGGTTCCCTCCAGTGCCCAGAGCCCTGTGCCTCGGGGCAGCACAGGACTCGGGGCCTCTCTGCCCTTCAAAACGACCCCAGGGGAGACTTCAGCCACCTCTGCTGCTGGTGCAGGGCAGCCGTCCTCTGCCTGGTGTCCCTCGGAGGCATCTGGACCACAGCCCCCAGCATTCCCACCCCGTGGGGCCACTGGCTGGAAATTCTGGGTGTTGCTGCCCAAACGTGTCTGGAAGGCTGGTGCAGAGACGGGGCACTGTGGCCACGGTGCAGGGCTGCAGACGTGTCGCAGCCCCAGGAGCAGAGGAAGCTGTGAAACGGGAGATGGTGGCGCAAGGGCGTCTTGGATCGGGAAGGGGTTAGTCCTGCCTGCCTGTAATCCAGCAGGTGCCTCTGATTAAAAGAAATCCTAATAAAAGGGAGAAAAACAGAGAACTCTGCATTACGGTCACAGCGGTTACGCGCCAAGAGC